CTACATGTTTCACATTTTTAAAAACAAGAATTAAAAATAAAACTATATAAATAATTTATCCGCGTGTACGAGGAAGAATCAACTAGTTTTCATCTCATGAATGATGATATTGGCCGGAAAAAAAAACACAACTCCAATAAAGTAATTCACATGTCTCCGTACGATACTTTGTAGACAAATCTATATACTTACTGTATCAATCGGCGAGTTTGTCACATGGGACGATCCCAATAAGGGAACAACATTTGTGGCGCAGCAGGCCACTACTTATTGAAATAATACAAAAACAAATTAAATAATAAGAGTCCATGTAATTAGCAACTTGATTAAAATAAGTTCAAGAACAGGGTTTATCTACGAGTTCAATAAAGTTCTCTAGATCATTGCCGAGTACTTTAGAGACCCTACCGATCGACCACCGTTTGTTGAACCAAGCATCAACTTCATCTCCTGTTTCATAGCACGCAACAGACGAGAGTGCTTGAGGAGGAACTGGTCTCATGTTCTGAGCCTCTACCAAATCTCTCAGACGGATAGATTCATCGCCATCTCTTTTTTTTTTCTCAAGTGTTCAACAATGTACTTATCATCACCTAGTACACTAACTACACGAGCACAATACCAAGAACCCTTGTAAGCTTCATCATCTTCACTTGTGACTTCCACAATAGCCTCCTTCTCATATTGATATGTTTGTCTGCATTTTATCTTCAGTTCAATAAGTCTTGGGATAGATTCCAAGAAATTTCCGTGTAAATCAAACCATTGTTAGTATATTAAGCCAAAACCCAACATACGATAAACAAGATTCTAAATTAAGAAACTCAGATATAAGTCGTTATAATCTTTAATATTCTCGAATCCCATTCCAAAATCTAGAAACCCCAATCTGCGTCACAGGACAAATAACAGCTGAAACATTTGCAAAATCAGACCCAAAAAAACAAAGAATCAGACAAAAAAAGAATCTTGCTCAAAATGAAATCAATGGATCTACCTGTGGAAGAGAAGACGGTACCCAAACTCCATCTTCCCATCCACGATGCAGCCTCAGATTAAAGTGATCAACCTCTGTTTCTGGACGATTATTTCCATGAAACCCCACAATGTACCTTGAATCTCCAAGATCGGCCGTCACTTTGCCTCTAACCCAGCAACCTTCGCTTTCTCTGAAGACGTCAACCTCATCGCCAGCCTTGAAGCTCCGGTTGGGTTCGCACGGCGGAGATGGGCGGAGGCGCGTCGGAACCACATACTCTTTCATACGTACGGAACCTCCAACAATGAGTGCTTCATGCTCTACCCAAACGACATTCTTTCTGACCGATGGTGCGTTAACCACAATCGCCGGGAATTACACCGCCGCGCCGGAAACAACTCGTTCCACCTCAACGCGGTCACCACCGCGCCAATCGTGCGCCATTTTTGAGTAGAAATTTGTGCAAAAGAGGAAAGAAGGATAAGCGACAAAGACGAGTAATGAATGTGAGCGAGGACTGAAGAGGAGAGAACTCAGAGAAGAGTGAGTGAGCTATGTAAAGAGTCTGAGAGAGACTCACCGGAGCGGCAAACAGTAAAAGCATTCTTATGTTGTGAGTCGGTCAAAGAGTCAACGTCAAAAACCAAAACAACACCTCGTTTCAAATATACGGAATACAACGTCATGCTGTTTTTATTCATGATTCAGATCACAATGCGCCACGTTTTTTTAAGCTTTGCTCGCGTGTCGGAATAAGAGCCGTTGATCTGTGATTCGCGTGGAGATCCCAAAGTTATTCACCACAAAGTTGTCCCATCTTTCTAACACTAAACCGAACATTGGATCAGTTAAGCTTGCGATTCATTGGTCCAACCAAAGGTCTTACGCTAATGCTATATAGGTAATAAATTCAAAATTAATTATTATACAATCAACCGTTGCAAAATTAATTATTATACAAGTTGGTTCTCTAAATCTTTATAATATTAAAACAGAAATACATTTAGCAAAATGTCCAAAATTCATTCAAATATTACTGAAATTGGCATTGCCTTTAAACTAAATAGAGCCAATTGAAAAAGGTAATTTTGAACATTTGCAGTGGCAATTTCAGTAATTATCAGGTCAATTTCAGACATTTTCGTTTTTTTTATGGCACATTAATAATATTTTCGTTATTTTAGGAAAATTTTGTAACTGCATAAAAAAAATGATAAAAAAATATATAATAAATTTTTAAGAATTTTATCCCCAT